TAATATATATATATATATATATATATATATAGTGGTGTGTGTGTGTGTGTTTATCTTCGTGTTTATAGACTGATTTAGACTCACTATGTACATCTTTTTATTTACATGTATATCTAGCACACTGCTCTTGAATCTAGACACGAATGACTGATTGAGAACGTTTACTCTCGCTCATTGGGGCTATGCATGCAAATATATACTTTTCTTATCTTGTCAAAGATGTTCAAGATGTCATAGGTCACGAACCGAGTCATGCCGTGAATACAGTCCATGTTCAAATCTTAATGCAGTAAATAATCGCCTGCATCTTGTATCTGCTATGTGTTGCACAGTGCGGGTTCGTTTGGTGCTATCGATGATGTATTTGTGTCAAATTAACACCAAATCATCCCGTATTTGCATATTATACAGTTGATGGGTCTTTCCATATTGGGCTTGAAAAAGCATGCGTGGACTCTCAGCAAGAAGTATCTGTGAGTTTGGTATGCCGTGTGGCTGATGAGACAATCACCTTGGGGGAGGAGCTTTACTCGACACGTCAAGTATTGCACACTGGCGGCGCCTTGGATGGTATGTACCGATGGGCTTTTAAACTCAGTCGTTAATTCACTCTACGTTCGACTCGCTAGTATGTGGTTTGTCATATGAAAGCTTGCTATCAACACAGTCTAATTTGGTTATGCATATTAAACAATAAAATCAATGAGGGGTTTTCTCGATTTCACATCAATGTTCAAATGTGGGATTTTGCGCCTGATAATGAGATCACTGTCATCTCAAGGCGTCTCAAGCGAACTATTATCGCCTCTCAGCAAAATTCGCAGAATGAAGCCTGTTCTCGTAAATCGAATAAATAAACTGATGTACAAGTTTGCTTTCATGTTGCAGCCAGGACACATTCCTTTCCTTTCTCGTTCCACATCCCTATGAACAAACTGCCCCCGTCGCTTGTTTTCGAAAACCAAGCGTGTATACAATGGGCGGTGGTCGGGCACTACTACCAATCAGCTACCGGAGAGGTGAGTTTTTGCAAGGGTGGCCGATGGGTTCACATACTGCAGATAAATCAAACAGTCGATTGTGGTAGTTTTAAGTGATTTTTGGATAGTGGTTGTATGTCGTTGAATACGATTTTGTGTTGGACTCGCTGATAGTGTAATATGCATTTGATAGCCGTCACATGCTGCTTAGCGTTTATACGTGATTTTGATATAGCCTTCGCATGGACATATATAGCATGTGGCTACTAGCAACCTTACGAGCGAGCTCGATTGATATCGACTCTCAGCCATTAATACCTGAAGAGATATGCCTGTTTTATACATATTCTTTCTTGAAAGTACATGCAGTTTTCGAAGTACTGCATTATTCTACTCGGCTGCTGAAGTTATACATTACACCTTCTAGAGACTTAGGACCCTTGCTAGGTTGACGCAAGCAGAGTAATTTTTGCACGGGTCCTGTCATAATGGGTGCTCAGATGGCGTGATACACGTAGAAACGTCTTGTTCATTATATTCCCGATACAATCTAGTACCGAAACGGAAACTAAATTCATTACTGATATGGAAACGAAACTCTGGAAGTGATTCGCAATCGGGGTTAGTAGCAGACACATCCCTGCCAAGTTTCGGATAGTATCATGCTTGTATGTGTGTATTATATCTCGAATCGTTGCGAGTGCCTGCAGAAAAAGCAAAAATAAAACTGTCAGTTTTCGTTCCAGGGAAATAACATTACATACAAATGGGTACCGTGTTTACAAAAACATACATTTCAGTTCGCACACCAGGAAGAACATCTTCGTATCGCATCGCCAGGTCAACAAAAGCGCTAGCATGATACAAGCGAAGGATGCACTGCTCTAGCCCCGATAGACGCATCTATACACATGTTCATCCACAAACACACCCAGGTCATATATCGAGGAAGCTTTTGAATAAGCACCAGACTTCTTTAATACCAAAGATTTTCATAAAAATCACCTCGGTACATTCGGACACCTTTCCAGGTCATTGCCAGTTTGAGGGAAATTCAGAAGCAAACACTTTACTTGTCAAGTCCCGAACTCCGGCCGATATCTCACGTGAAGAAAAGACTATTTCGCATGGGTACCATGTCGGTTAAGGCAGAGCTCGACAAAGCCGTGTACCACACAAAAGAGGTACTGCCCAAAACCTTATAGCCCAAACTCTAAGCCCTAATATGGTCAGTAATTACTATTCAGCATTGCAGAATGGGCTTTTGCTAGTGCGAATACTTGGGTTTGTTAGTGACATTCGACATTCTAATGCTTCAAGTGTAAAGGTGAGAGGGAACTACACTAGATTGTCATATACACTTTTCTATAGAGGGTGCCATTCATACACTTCAACTCACTTCATGAATCAGAAACGTCTTGAGCATGATATTCCTGCACTTTATTTTAGAAGATCGTGTAATTAAGTCGTAAAGTGCTGTATATTGCTGGCTTTTTAGAACCTAACACTGCCTGCCACTGTGTACCCGCTCTGCAGGACATCAAAGTGACCATTCAAATCGAGTCAGATGTACCTAGCAGAGTGAAAGGCATCGAATTGTGTGCGAGGCAGGTATGTGGTTGTAGAAGCAGTACAAAGCAGTGCATGAAAGAGCATCTTAAAACCTGGGAGAGCTTGTAGATTTTTTTCTTCATCTGCAGAGTGGCGGATGTGGTATTTCTCCGGATGCCAGCTTCTACTGCAGAGGAAGACTGTTGTTTTGGCTCTGTCTGATTTAAACATGTAGAAATTGGGGGTTCACTACTGCTTATCCCGGCATGCCGATTCGTAATCGCTGCGGTATTCATTCTATATGTATCGTATACCTTCGTCTTAGTACGGTCGGCCAACCCCAGATCTTAGATCGTAGACGTAGTGCACCAATAGCCTCAGATGTATCAGTGCGCTTCACGTCTAATACCTAGCATACACAAATGACAGCATATTAATACGATTATGGATGATTTAGTTCATACCGTATTCACGTGGACGATTGCAATCATCATATATATGAACCATATACTTATGTGTATGAGGATCGTTATTCATTATTAAATTTGTAGAACAAGGTGCTGCGAGCGGATGGCAGGCTGCATTTCGTCAACAACAAGAAACCACTCTCTGTCCAATTAGATGCTGCACGAACGAAGGTAAGTGCGAGTGCAAATTCAGAGTAAATGTGGTATGAAGTGGGAATTCATCAGAAAATCTTGTGGTTAACGGCTCCTTCTTCAAGATTGCTGATTTTTTTAGGGGCAACATTTCTCTATAATTAAAACTTATTCAAATTCTGAAGTGAAACAACCTCACATGTACAGTTAGGAAGTTCTGAATCTGGGAACATGAAGGCAAACGAAACTGTGCCAAAGACTTGGGAAAGAACTCTGATATTGAAACCGAGAATGGACTCACCTCCCAAAAGCGCACGCACGCGGAAGGTACGCCTGATCACAGTAATGGAGGGAGGGAAGGGCCCCGTACAAAGTAGTTTGAGAGTAGGTTTGTCAGATAGCTACATTGTAATACAGGGTGCACTGGGGACCAAATAGCCCATTTTCATTTTCAATTGAGTGACTTTCGTAGCATGACTGGGGGCCATTTAATCCAGTTTCAGATTCGATTGAGTGACTTTCGTAGCATGTACTGGGGGCCATTTAATCCATTTTCCGATCCGATTGAGTGACCTTCGCAGGGTGTATTGGAGGCCATTTAGTCCATTTTCATATTCGATTGAGTGACTTTCGTTGAGTGTACTGGGGGCCTTTAAAATCCTTTTTTAGGTTGAATTAAGTAACTTTCGCAGAATGTACTGGGGGCCAGGTAGTCCATTTTCAGATTCGATTGAGTGGCTTTCGTAGCATGTACTGGGGGCCATTTAATCCATTTTCAGATCCGATTGAGTGACCTTCGTAGGATGTATTGGAGGCCATTTAGTCCATTTTCATATTCGATTGAGAGGCTTTCGTTGGGTGTACTGGGGGCCATTACATCCATTTTTAAGTTGGGTTAAGTAACTTTCGCAGGATGTACTGAGGGCCGTTTAATCCATTTTCAGATTCGATTGCGTGATTTTCGAAGGGTGTATTGGGGGCCGTTCGATCCAGTTTCAGATTTGATTGAGTGAATTTCGTAGTGTACTGATGGCTATTTAGTTCGTTTTCAGATTCAATTGAGTGACGTTCGTAGGGTGTGTTTTGGAATACCTCAAGCGAGACCTATACTGGTGTACTGATCAACGCCTGTGGAACATTCGAATTTGTTCGTCACCGGGGGTTCAGCCACAGTATGCGATACATCACACTGTAGACTAAACCCATATTACCTACTCCCTACCTCCATCGCACCACCCCACGCTTGCTATTGAATTCAGAATCTTGTTGTCAAGTCAGAGTCTACTGCGGGACTCTGCCCAACCACCATGTATTTCTTCAGTGAAGCGGGTACGCAGCTGCTCACGGTACAAATTACGTACCAGGTGGAGGTGAAGATCAGACTAAGTGGCATCAGTAAAAACGTAACGGTATGTTAGGTGATTTGCTGACCTACTCCACGGGATGTATGTCTGCGGCTGTGTCATATAAAGGCCATATTTCTCATTGCACAGATTGCCGGACGTAGAGCGGCCGTGGTGAACAGTAGTTTACACTATAGTGCAATTCTGTACACGTGACCACTTGATCCCTGTTCGATGCAGGTAGACAGGTTTCCACTAGAAATACCTCCCTGCGGGTCACGCGTGGTAGACTACCAAATACTTGAAGTTGGTGGCATACTGGAAGTATTGTGAAAGACTACTTGTGTCAGATGGTCACTGCATACATGATATGAATGTCCTTCTTATTACAGCGCTGGCTCTGCATATACCTGCACGTGTCACAAAAAAATGCATTCTGCTTCGAAGCGCCCGCAGAACTTTAATATACACTTTTTATGCGTATGAATAAATACAGCAATTCGTAAAATAGCAAACATGTGCATGTTCAGCAAACGTTCAGACAGAGCGTAATGTTGAGGATGGTGTTTAGTATATCCAACGAGCCTACTCCATTATTAATCGTGGTACCTCGTCCAACACACTGATTTTCGGTGTTACATATAGAGAAGTACAACACTGATTCTTCAGTGAAAGCAGACCTTGACTCGAATGTCTGCTCTACCTTTAATCCATCTATGCAGGTGCTGCTACCTTTCATTATCAGTGACAGCGTGTCGCTCAACTTAGCGTTACCAAAATCCCTGCCAAGGGCTATACGTCACCTAGTAAAACTGGATGACCGGGCGACAACCGAGTCGCTCCTGTGTGTGTACCATCTGAAACCACCTCAGAACAAACCTCCACACTATGCAAGACTCAACGAGGATAGCATAGGTAGCGAAGGCTCGTACTCATCGTATTCAGGTACAGCTTCTATTTGGACCTTAACCCAGCGTTTTGTTCTGCTTGCGTACGTGGTTCCTTGCACACGCGTCGTGAAAGCGAACTTAATGTCGTTTGAAGCGCGCACTGATAAGGATCTAATTCGACTTACTGATTTTACAGAGACGGATATGGCCCGATCAGATATGCGGAAGGGCAGCAGTCCATCCATGTTAGAAGTATGTAAAGAGCTTTCCAATCCCGGAGGGCTTTCTGCCTTTCAATTTTTCTGGTTGTTTATTTAGATAGATATGTGCTCCATTGATTTAACTCACTTATAGTCTATTAGAGGTATGTTAATCTTATATTCCGAGCTTGGTATACCTTTCTCAACCACTTGCGCACTCGACTGTAACCAGGAATCTCAGAGCGAATCAAGGACAACATCAACGTTCGCCCCATCGCCCAACTCCCCAGCCCCTTCATACTCGATAGTCAATAATCAAAGTGACGAGGTGTCGTAGTCTATTCGGTATACAGCTCTCACAAACCACGCTCATGGAATATAAGCAACTCGTATGAATCAAGGACAGGGATAGTACGCAACACTTATGTACGGATCACAGTGTATGAGGTACGCCGCTGGCGGGAGCGGGTAATCATCGTGATGCACACCCATCTCGTATCGCGCGTGGTATAATCTTTCACCGGCACTGTGAACAGTCGTGGAAAGCACTGTGTGCGGTAGCCATGTCAAAGTCTACACATATCAATGGCACACATCGCAGCCCAACGGACATGGGCCACTCCGTGTCTAATCGCCAGACGCGATGAGAAAAACTTTTTGATACCTAAACAGTCAGAGCCTACACGGCAGCTTAGTTTGCTTCTAACTTTGAACAATTTCGCGCGATTTCAAAGATTTAGCACAAATATGTGACCCATTTAGAGCCTTGGTGTGGGAACCCGGACGAGAATGTACAACCTGAGTGCTTCGATATGGAAAACAATATTCTACATACTCGGAATGTCGCAGTCTGCGGTAGCAGTAAGATCTGCGACACGCTGGACACAATCAGATGTCGGTGTAATCAAACAATCAACAAGCGAAGACCTGAAATAAGTTGGCGACTGCAACGTGGTAACTAATATTCCTGTTTTACTTGAACTAGTCTAAGTTCGTTGCTTCCTACAATTCAGTTGGACTACGAAGTTGCAGAAAAGAAGCACCCGGGGTGTGCATATAGACTACAGTAAATATGCTCAGACAATCCCCAGCACTAGAAAACCCACTAAAGTTCAGCCATCAGCATGTAAATAGACTAATAAAGGCCAATAGCAGGCCAGCGCGCTATCCATACCCCTGATCTGACAAGTTTGTCTCCGTCTCCGTAGAATGTACCACTGATATCGCGGTGAAATTCCTGTGCCGGTTAATTGTGCTACTTTTGATGAGAGCGTATATCTATTTCTGAAAGCCTCTCCCTCACAATCGTGGCACTTTAATTAACAATCGCTCCACACATGCTCTTATTTATTATATATATATATATATATATATATATATATATATATGAAGTATGCCTGACCAGCAATGTGCACGCAGAATTCCTATTAGCCGATAAGCATATGCACATACACGTGTGCTATACGTGAAGGCATTTGGTTCTTTGCGCCCTTCCCGTTGCGCTGATTACTAGGGTATACATTAGACATTTAAATACCCTCGCTGAGCCTATTTCCAGCAAGTGTAACACCACATGTCGACATATTCACGGATACAGCTTCTCGCGGGGGGTTTATACATCCGCGATAAACCGTTGCGAGTACTCTTCAAATGCTTTCACAATCTCGTCCGAGTGCGCGACGACGCTATCCCCCCCGTTGACCAGCTTTGCCAGTGTCTGCATAGCCTTTTCAAGAATGCCCTTCTCCTTGAACATGGTGCTCTTGTGCTCATTTATCTGACATTTCAGATCATCCAGCACTATCCTCGCCCCTACCTTATAGTGCTGGGCCACATTTGATGTCGAATAGCTCGCATTACTCAAGAACTTATCGTAGGCATAATCAATTACCTGCTGTTTCAGGCGCCGTTCTCGCGCTGAGTTAGTGTACGTCATGAACTCCACAGTATACAGCAACGTATACGCCCCTGTTGCCACACCCACCGCCTTCCACACACTGGGCTTAGACAGGACTGTGAAGCTCAGTGTTGCGCATGTGATGATACTCGACATAGTCAGTTGGCTCACAAGTGGCACAATGACTGCCACTCCCCCCACAGTCATCTCGGTGCTGGACAACCCAACACCGCTAGGTGCTGCGTGACCATTCGCAGCGCCCCCCGCCTGCGGCCCAGAGCCCATGAACAGCGAGTCTACTGCCCTAAACGTGCTGTAACCCAGTAAGCGCGGGCCGATCGAACGCCACCCTAGTGAGAAGTAGAAGTCGATATCTTCATTAAACCCGGACATCACTTCAGTGGTGAACACCCCTTCCAGCACACGCACCACACCCGGGGGTGCCGCAAGGGTCGCTTCGTTTTCGTGACGAGTGGCACTGTCTCTCTCGCTCAGGTTTAGTGCTGAATTAGTACCAGAGTAGCCGTTTGAGCTGGTGGTAGCCTGTTGTTGCTCATACCCACTGCTGGAAGACTCACCGTTCCCTGCTCTACTTTCCTCATTCAGCCGCGCCTGCGACTGCAGGCTCATGTTGCTCACACCCAACCCACTGTTCAGTCCAGAGCTTACCATGCTGCTCATTTCCTCCTCCATGTCGCGTATGGCTTCGGTATACCTCTTGTTGAGAGTCTCAGTACACACTTGCTCTAATTCCATGAGCAACTCTGTGCACAAGTACTCATAGAGTCGCTTCTTGTACGATACCATATTGTGTGGCCTGAATATTGCGTAGTCGAATCGCTTGACTATGCGTGCGAGGTTGTGATCAAGCACCGTCTTGAGCTCTTTGTCGAACATATCGGAAATATCACGAGTCATCGCGGAAATGATTTGCTCGCATCTTCTAACAGATGCCTCCTTTTGATTATCCAACGCTTCAATTTGTTTTCTGAAGTGATAGAAAGGTGGAAAATTGAGTTTAAAGGTATCCAGATGCTTTACGACAATACTTCCATAGAGTGCACGAAGTATTTAGAGTGGAATAGGGACAAATATCCCTTGGAAGCTTCCAGGATCCGCGTGGAAGTGGTTGGTATCACTATGACTATACGTACGAGATCAAATACTGCTCGAGCATAGCCTGCGAGGTCGACACAACGCACAACAAACAATAAAAAATCGGACGGATTGATGTCCATGTAATATAGTGCAACTATACAAATCAATAGTACTTATAGAAGGAGCAGACATACTTGCGGACAGCCAGCCTCGACACACACTCCCTCCGCTGTAGCTTAACCGTGTAGGTCACTCTCTTCACCCATTCGCTCAGCTTCACCACAATGTCAGATCCTCGCACCACGTGACCCTCAAACTTTGTCTGTATGGCAGACAAGGAGATACACTGTTCGAATTCGTGTTCGAACCGTTCGAACTCGTTGTATCGGCCCATTGGGCTGGGGTTAGATTCCTTTACTACACTCTTATCTGGCTTAGTCCTGTGCGTCAGGACCTCCTTCCCGGACACAAAGAATACGCGTTTATCTATAATGTTCGCGTCCTGCTGCAGTTCTTTCTTGAAGAACGAGCGTACCCGGTCTTTGTGCTGCTCTTGTACAGGCGTAACATCGTCCTCCATATCAGACCCATCCCATCGATTGAAAAGAATAAACACATTCGGTCGCGATAGCTTTTCGGCGACTTTCGTGAAGAAATTCATTTCCTACACACGAGAGCGCAATCAAATTTGTCGATGTTATTACTGGGAATATTTAGTTGCCTGTATGATGATATGTAAACTTCATGTGTCTGCAAATCTACATATAGATAAGCAACAGGCATCGTTGGAAGTACTCAGACCACACAAGCCAATAGAGAATTATGCCATGGGCCTGGCTGATAGATCGAGCGTGTAAAGTAGAGAGATTGTGCCACAAAATGCTAAACAAAATGACAATATAAAACATTTGTAGCTTCTCTCGACGCAAGTCATTCTGATTCGAGCATAAAACAATTGCAATAAAAGACGTCAGAATTTGTATTGCATATGCACCGCATATTTGCTGAGACCACCGAGTCACGCCAGACGTAATGCACCAGTAAAATCGTGTTTTCTTGGGGATCGGAATAGTACATACCGTGTGTTTGATAGTCGATTCTCCGTTAGCAACCAGCACAAAGACATCAGCATCCATACAAAATTTGTCAATCCAGTTATCATAGTTTTCGTCGATGTCTAGACCTGGAGTGTCAACAAATAAGACACCATCGCCGAGCAGGTTGCATTTTCGTTTATCCCAGAATACCCGCACAAACTGCAAAAATGAATCAGCATAACAAGTTCAAGGAGAGGCCACTCGAGATATTCATCTGATCGAACAAACGTAAGATGTTCAAGGCTGACTACAAAAAGCGAAGTGGGAGTGAGGTCGCAACTCAAAATAATCGGACGACAGTATTGAAATCGTCCCCCTGTACGGTATAGCGCTCAACGAATAGAAATGGACAACGGAGCTGTATTTATAAATTCTGAATGCGCAATCAAGCAAAAATGCGTAGTTGTATATACAAGCCTTAACGGAAATAGAAACTCCTGCACCTCATCACATATACATACCTGATACGCATCATGATCGGACTCAGGACACAGCGCATTGGCAACGGTCTTCACATTATCTATGGCCATACGCTTTTCGGGTGGCGGGCTTGGGGGCGAGTCTGATCGTTGCACCCGATTCAACCTTATAGAGTTGCTATTCTTCGCCTTGGGTTCGTGGCCCAATATGATGTAGGGTTCTTCGTCTGTACCTGTTACACTGCAGAAACAGCTGGTGGTGTGGCCTATTCCCATTGGCAGCACCTTATCGAAATAAGAAGAAAAATGCAATCAGGTATCGTTAAAAAATGCGCGGAAACAAATGCTGTAGAAAATTGCTATATATACGTATCGTAATAAATCATATCTCAAAGACAAAGATAGACTATCTCTTACTTTTCTATAAACAAAACTCCAGAGAACTTATACGTGCGTTTGACAGATCAGATCATCTAGATGAAGCAAAAAGCTACGAAAATGGGGTTTGTTGAATGCGGATCTGGGCAGTGTTATAGTTAGCAACTAAGTACTAGAGAAAATACTGTAGAGAGACGAGCACCAAGTTAACACCGATATCGACTAACCTTCTGCCCCAGCATACTATTGATGACCGTTGATTTCCCATTTGATGTATGTCCGACGAAAACAACTTTCATACTGTCTCGACGAAGCATTGCTGTGATGTTGCTTACAACCTCCCTGAATTGCTGAATATCCTTTAGTTTATGGATGTGATCAGACTTGTTGTCGTTCAACTGCTGCCCAGGCGCTACATGATGCAATTGATAACAAAAACATAGTGAACGACGGAACATGGCACCGTGGGCGCAACTGGTCTTTTGGAAGGTCCAGACTAGACCATCGCAAAAAAGAAAAAAAATGACAACCACACACGCTTCGAGACTTCCAACATATATTGATGGAGACTCTCTAAAAATACTGTCAATCCTTGGACATAAATCCTATGTAGTCATATTTCTGTATGTTTACAACCGTACACACACACACACACACACACACACACATATATATA